TCCATACCATTTTTTTTCAAATTTATTTATTTATATATATTTTACATCATTATTCATTTTTAAACAATATTTGCTTTTTTCCCCTTGGTTGTAGTCCCCATAGAAATTCCTCCACCAATTCACAGTGTGCCATCACCACAGTCCCCTGTGTTCCTCCCTCTCTCCCTCTGATCCCTCTCCCTGCCCTGCAAGATGTCTCTGAGAAACTCCATGCCATTTATAGAGCTCCAGAAGTTTGTTTTCTCCTAAAGTTTTAGAGCTCCTGAGTTACCATCATTTCTCTGTTCCTTTATTTTCTCTTACATAAAATCTTATTGCCCAAAGAGAGAAACCCTTCGCAATTTCCCCTTCTCTGTGCGTTCTCAGGACAGGAGATGTGTGTGCCTGAAAAGAAAGCTAGAAAGCAGAAGCAGTTGGTGGTTCTAGCAATCGTCGTCAATTTTCTTTTGAATTTTTCATGTCCTTGTGAATGAGAGCAGGGTTTATTTTAACAGCTTTACAAATCCAATTTACCAAAGTTTATGGCATCCTTTATCACAATGAGACGGGAAGGTAAGTAGAATTACTTGATTTTTTTTCTCACCATAGGTATCTCTTTTGGGTCTCACAGTATAGAACCAAGCTACTTTGGGTGTAGGTTATTTTGATGTTCTCTCTTTGTCTACTTCTATATTTTGGTGTAATTAGAGCAAGGGAGAAATTTTAACCTTTGGGGGACATGCTCAGAAGTAGGAGTCTCTTAGTTGACTCTCAACTGTAATTTTCCAAATGCTGGCTTCCTGGCAACCAGGAGACCTCATAGTTCAGTGGGACCAGCTCATCTGACTCTGGGCCAGGAAATATGGGCAGGAAGGCAAGGTGATAGCAACCTTCTTGTGTATATCTCCATAGAAAATCTAATTCCCTCACACCAATCCTTTCTCTCTCCTTACCAGATTATGGACTTGAGGCTTCAGTGGACGTTAGGCCTTCCCCTGCTTCGGGACCGAGTTAGGTCTTGAGCAGGAATGAGGACCCTAAACATCATCTTCCAAGTCCATTTTCTATATGATTGAATTGTGTTTTGCATGTTATATTACGAATGAAATGATTCCACAAAAAGCTTTTTCCTGGGTTTAGGAGAGCAATACAAAGCATGGGACCTGTCAGGACTACCAAGAGACCAACCAAGATGCGTGGAAGGCATCTTTCACCTACTGTTAGCTTGTTTATTAAAATGTATTCATCCTCAATTACATCATCCTATTGCATAGTAGAATATATTTGATACTAACAGAAGCAGATCAATACAGCTCAACTCCATGCCAGCTAGCCAATGTTCTTTCTCTAGGGCACATAAGGTGTTAATCTGTTTGTAATTCCTATGTTTTGAGGACCTTAAGGAGTTAGTCCTTTAAGCAAATAATATGGATAGTTTTGTGGGATTTTATTTAATTTTAAAATCTACATAGTTGTCATAAAATTTTTTGAAAATAAAGACAATAACCAGAAAGTAATTAAAACTATAATTTGGGCCTCCCTGGTGTTGCAAGGGGTTAAGTCTCAGCACTATGAGGCTATCCGCAGCCTCTGCAGCATAAGTTTGATCCCCGGCCAGCCAGGGAGCTAACCACATGATGCAGCAGACCTCTCCTGTCTCACCTGCTGCTCCCCTCAGCAGTGTATTTCAGTAGATCTGCCTGTTCTGCTCCCCACTCTGTCTCTGGTGAAACCTGTCACACATCACACACACACACACACACACACACACCCCTCTGGCCTACACCTCAGCTCTTGTATGCATAAATAAATAGCAAAAACTTTAAAAAAAACTATAATTCCACAATTCGAAGACTACGAATAACATTGTGATGTGAATTATTCAAGGCTTTGCTTCAGGATGTATATAGTAGTGCTGTACATTCACCTTTCATTACCTACTTTTTCTACCCACAATGGCATTTAAACTTTTCATACCATTAGCTAGCTTTCTGCATGCTGGGGTTACATAGCAGCCAATATCTCATTATTGCTCATTTAACTTAATTTTGAATTTCAATAAAAACAATTTGGTGATGAAAATATTTACAGCAAGGAGCCTGCATATTCCCTTAAATTAAATGGCTATAGAGCAAGACAAATACACATTGTAAAAGCTTTTGATACACATTGCTAAATGGTCCTTCAGAAAGGTTCTCGTTTCTCTCTGATGGCATTTTTTCCCAAGAGTTCCCAGAATCCTCACCAATTTTTAAAAAATAAATATAATTTTAAAAAGTCCTGCCTGCTTGGTGGGCAAAAAAAACTTAGTGGTTTCCTTTGCATTTTCTTGTTTAATAGTGAACCTTCCTTATACTTTTGATATATTTGCTGAAGCAGGGTAGTGTAAGTCGTTAGGTGGGGCTACTGGAGCCTGATTTTCACTAACTGATGAACTTGAGTAAGTTCCTTATTCTCCCCATGCTCATGTAACCAACTCTGGACATGACTGTCATGGTGTCCATATGAAGATTAAAGCAGGCCTCACACGGTAAGTGGTAGAAAGTACCCAGGCAATATAGGAGCACCTGATACGTCTCAGCTACTCTGTTCTGTATGGTTTTTGTTTCTTCTATGAATCGCCTCCTTTATTGTCTTTGCTTGGGGAAGTGGTTTTGGGTTTGTTTGTTTGTTTGTTTGTTTTTACAGTTTTTAATAGCTTAAGCATGTTAACCCATGATCTGGCATATATTGCAATTTCCTTCTAATTTTTGGTGTCTTTATATTTTATCCAAAGTAAAGAAATATTTGGATATCTGATATTCAGGCCAGGAGCTGCATCCTTTTTTTTTTTTTTTTGACTCTCCATCCTGTTCTAGGAGAAACACCTTCCCTAGGATTGAGAGGAACTAGTATTGATTATTGTCACCAGATAGCAGAAATGGCATTTTAAGCAGGGTAACATGTTATATTAAATGTCATCATTATGGAATAAAACTTTTGCTTAATTTATGTAAATATTCATCAGGCAGATGAGAGGCCATGGTTAATATTTGCCCATTTTCTTTTGTCACTAAATCCAACTTGTCAGTGTTCCATTTAGTGATGCTATAAAGTTAATGACTTCAGCTTGAGATCAAGCCATTAAGGGCTACAACTTTTCCCTTCCTTTCTGTAAATTATCTAGTAGGAAGAGAATCTTTCCATGTCATGGCAATACCTAATGGAGGTATCCAAATATTACCTCAATTAAAAATTAATTTTAATAAAGCAAAATGTTCATTATTTTGGCACATAGACATGCTACTAAAATGCCAAAATTTTTTCACTCAATTAGAAAAAAATATGGACATAAAGAATGTTATTTTGGGCATCCCTGGTGGCTCAAGAGGTTAAGCACAGCACTATGAAACTGTCCACAGCCTCTGTAGCACGAGTTTGATCCCCAGCCAGCCAGGTTGCTGCCCATGTGGTGCAGCAGGCCTCTCCTGCCTCACCCGCTTCTCTCCTCAGCAGTGTATTTCAGTTGGTCTGCCTGTTCTGTTCCCCACTCTGCCTCTGGCGAATCCTCTCACCCCCGGCACCTCTGGCCTGTACCCCAGTTCTTGTATGCATAAATAAATAAATCTTAAAATAAAAAAATGGTATTTTGCCTTGCTAGCATTGAAATGATAAGAACCACACTATAAAAACACCTAAATTCTGCTTGAACTGCCAATTTGTTTCAGAAAGCATTAAAAGTAGGCAAATATTGCTACTGTGTGATGGATAAATGGGTGTGTGTTACATTATTTCTACTAGCCTTGTGTATGATTGAAATTTTCCATATAAATTTATTTTTAAAAAGCAGTTTATGTTAGGGCCTCCCCTGGTGGCACAGCAGTTGAGCGCTGGGCTGCGAAGCTGCCCGGAGCCTCTGCAGCGCCGCTTCTATCCCCGACCGCCAGCAAGGGTCCCACATGGCACGCAGACCTCTTCTGCCAACCGCTGCTCCCCTCGGCAGTGTACTTCTGTCCTTCTGCCTGCTCTGCTCCCTGCTCTGGCTCTGGTGAATCATCTCACCCTCCTGCGCTTCTGACTATACCCAGTGCTTGTATAAATAAATAAATACTTTTTTTTTTTTAAAAAAAGCAGCTCATGTTAGTGATGCTTACAATAGAAATCTTGAGAAAAACTGTCCATTTATTTTTGATTCTTCATCTGGCTTTGAGTCCTGTCTCGCTGTTTATCATCTTTCTGCTCATTTCTTCTGTTTACCAAAATCACATTGCACTCTTAACTATTTCCATATCTCGTTCACTTTTAATATCTCTCATCAGAATATATTTTGGGCTCTTTCCCAACTACTTCTAATCCCAGTACTGAACTCAAATGGAAATATGTATTAGTGGTATTGGGCAGAAGTTCAGCAAGGACACTTCTCTTTCAAATTTCATACTTTATTAGATTTTGGACTTTATTTCATTGTTTTGCTTCAAACATGTTTTACTTTTAGAACACATTGAAGAGAAAATAATTAAAACATGACTTGTATGATAGCGATTTTAAGAATTGTTGTGATGTGCACTACTTGGACTGCTCACCTGTGTTGAAAGTGACACACACAGAGAACTTACCCCCAAACCTTAGGTATAAATTGCCCTTGTTTTAATATCTCTACCTTTGCAAGTCTTTTCTTCCTATTTTTCCTTTTCTGTGTCTGTTTTCATTTGCGATTACTGGACAGCATAAGAAAAAGAGATTGGTCTTCAGTACAATCTAAACTTTTAAATTGCTGATTGAGTTGTGGGTGCCAGTGTAATTGACCTTCAGATGCCTACAAGCCATAAAACACAACGGTGGTAGTGGTGCTCAGTCACCTAAATTCTTTACTACCCAGAAAAATGTCAGATAACATTTAGTGCCCTTAGTCCCTTTATCACCCACACCCAAGAGTAAAAAATTGGAATCGCAGAGCAGAACGCTTCTGTAAGCTTCAACACCCTGCCTGCAAAGATTTAACTCTCGCTAGAGGAATTTGACCTTAGTATCTGTCCTTGCAGGCAAAATGAAGGACCGGCTATCGGAGCTGCTGGAGTTAAGCAGGCACTATGATCAGCAGTTCCCAGATGAGGATAATGAGGTGGACTCACCCCAAGAGCATATCGTATTCGAGACGGACCACCTCCTGGAGTCCTTATACCGAGACATCCAGGACCTTCAGAGTGAAAACCAGCTGCTGCTGATCGACGTGAAGCGCCTGGGCAAACAGAATGTCCGCTTCCTCACGTCCATGCGGCGCCTCAGCAGCATCAAGCGCGACACCAACTCGATTGCCAAGGACATCAAGGCCCGGGGCGAGGCCATCCACCGCAAGCTGCGCGCCATGAAGGAGCTGAGCGAGAGGGCCGAGGCCCAGCACGGCGAGCACTCGGCCTTGGCGCGCATCTCCCGCGCGCAGTACAGCGCGCTCACCCGCACCTTCCAGCGCGCCATGCACGAGTACAACCAGGCGGAGATGAAGCAGCGCGACAACTGCAAGATCCGCATCCAGCGCCAGCTGGAGATCATGGGCCACGAAGTCTCGGGCCACCAGCTCGAGGACATGTGTGAGCAGGGCAAGTGGGATGTGTTCTCCGAAAACCTGCTGGCCGACGTGAAGGGCGCACGGGCGGCACTCAACGAAATCGAGAGCCGCCACCGAGAGCTGCTCCGGCTGGAGAGCCGCATCCGGGACGTGCACGAGCTCTTCCTGCAGATGGCCTTGCTGGTGGAGGAGCAAGCCGACACCCTGAATGTCATCGAGGTCAACGTGAATCAGACCCTAGATTACACGGGGCAGGCCAAGGCCCACGTGGGCAGAGCTGTGCAGTACAAGAAGAAGAACCCCTGCCGGACCATCTGCTGCTTCTGTTGCCCCTGCCTCAAGTAACAGGTGACCCAGGTCACAACCCCTGACCTTCTACTGTAGGGAAAGGGCTGGGGAGTACACTGGGAATGATTTGGGGGTGTTCTGTACTGAGGTGCGTTGCCCCAATCCAAGTAGAGCTCAGTCTTTGGGAAACAAGACACTCTAAGAATTCCAACCCTCCATGTTCTTGGGAAGGTGGTTGATGCCCTCCTCTCTCTCTTCGTGAAGACAGATACCTACTCAGGTGTGTCAGGTCATTCTGGAGCACATGGCCCTCCTGATGGAAAACCCAATAAGTAGACTTTGTGGTTTACCTTAGGGTAAATGTCCAAGACATGTTTCCTAATGAAGATTCAAAGAAAAAGTCAGTTCTGCATTGACTGATACAATGCACTCATCATCAAAACTTAAATTTGCTTACCCTATCCTGAAAACTTTTTAATTTCCAGGAGATGGACCTTGGGAAAGATTACATGTTTCACTTCTGGTTCTTCAAGTGGTTTATGCTAAGTGATTCCTGCTGAGATGTTTATCTTCTTTCTGCTCACCTCCCCTACTTTTTAAAATCACATTTAGCTCATATTATTTCCTTATCTCATTCACCTTTAATATCTTCTAACAGAACCTATTTGGGGTTTTTTTCCCCCAACTATTTTTTAAGCACTGAGTATGGAACAAGCACTCAAAGTATGTATTAGTCACATGTTATATTTTTATAGATAATAATTTAAAATTTCTTTTTACTTGATTATTATGAATGCACATAACTTGGTAAAATACTAATATTCACTAATATGTATACATAATGACAGTTGGTTTGACTTTTGTAAATAAGGATATAAAAAGCAAGAAAAACACCTTTACTGATTACTGGCATTGATTGGTTGATATGAGTTTATCTCCCTCCCTACTACATGGTCCAGTTTGGGTTATTACTTTATTTTTTATAATAATTTGTAGGGTACAGTGACAAGGGCAGATATCAAAGGATGAAGATGCATATAGAACTAGATAATAAAATAATATTCTTGGAAATAATTTTTTTTTGTTTCACTGTGGACCATACTTTCATGGCATTTTATTTTCCCCTCTAAAATAAGATTTTATATTTCAAGTTCATTTAATAAACATTAAAAATATCTCTTTCAGGTATTTGTGTCTTGACCATTTCAGTCTTAGTCAGATTACCTCTACAATTCTTTTTTTTTAAAAAAGAGTTATTTATTTATACAAGAACTGGGGTATAGGCCAGATGCGCAGGAGGGTGAGAGGATTCACCAGAGACAGAGCGGAGAATAGAACAGGCAGACTGATGAATTGCACTGCTGAGGGGAGCAGCGGGTGAGACAGGAGAGGTCTGCCGCACCATGTGGGTTTCTCCCCTGCGGGCTGGGATTGAACCTGCGCTGAAGAGGCTGCGGACAGCTTCACAGTGTGGTGTTCAACTGCCTGCGCCTCTGGGGAGGCCCCACCTTTTCAATTCTTGTTTTAAAAAATTCTACCAGCTACTGGCAGGTTGCAGCATCTAGATGGAACTTGGAGAAAGGGAGAAGGAATGGGGGCATGAAAAAGAATTCACAAGGAGGTGTCTTGCTTTCTCTGCCCAGATGCTTACAATAATTTAGCAAAATCATTAGGTTTTAGAGATTTGGTTTCATTTGCAAACTGTGTAATGCCCTTCCCCAGCTTAGCAAGTTTCCTGTCTTCTGAGTCGACTCTTAACCCTTTCTAGTTATTATTTAATAAATAGTCAAGTTTATCCAGTGTTCATAATTCTCAGCTCCACTGGACAGTGAAACTTTCAAAGCAGTGGAAAGCAGGGTATATGAACTCTTAGGAATTCACTGACTAAGCTGTTTATGACCATGAAAATCTAGCCCTGCACCTAATTTTCATTTCATGGTTAAATATGAGAATTGTGGAAACCAAGTCCCACTGGGCTCGTCTCAGATTCCTCCCAGTTTCTTTCTCAGCTAATGCTTTAATTCCCTTTTCCCTAAAAGACAGTCTTCGCACAGTTCCCTTGCTATGTCTTTCATAGTAGAGAAGAGGTATTCTAAATACAAACCACCTGCTAGTTTCCACAAGAGAGAATTGTTCATGACTTCAACTTGTTGAAACCCATAAAGCATGTTCTTTGCTTTGAACCGTTCATAAGAGTAAAGCAGTGTGTATTTCTTAATCCCCCACATCACATGTAGGAGAATTAGGTCAAACCTAGACGTTAATATACCAAGAAATTAGAGAACAGTTGTCTGAAAATGCAAAAATTTTTTCTTTCTGCTTCTTAGTAAGTGTCTGAGGATGGCATCATGGTTAAGAGCACAGATGCAGGATCCCACGCTCTGGGATTAAACCTTGACTCTGACACATGAGAGCTTTTTGATTTCTTTATGGACACATAAGTCAGCCTCTCCGTAACTCCATTTCTGTGAAATGGAGATATTAATACCTGCGTTCTAGAGTTGTAAAAAGAAAATGATTAAGTAAAAGTGTTTAGAACAGTGCCTGGCACCTACTAAGTGCTGTTATCATTGTTGTTATGGCATAATAATATTACATTAATATTATTGCATATTACATACTTTAGTGACTGAAGTAATTAATAGTAGTGAACTTTTGAGAAAAAAATAAATTCTTATTCTGTTACTAGTCTTTAATAAAACGAAATAAACCAAGAGTCTATCTTCTTTGGATATTATGGTTTTTATTTTCCTAGAACAAAAAACTGTTGCCACGGTGGCATTTCTGTTCCTTCTTACATTCAGACATGTTCTGAAAAAGAAATGAGATATTCCATTCAAAAAACAGTCAAGCAGGAAGCAGCTGTTCTGCTCAATTTGGCAAGTGCTTTCCACTGATTCTTCTGTGTGTCAGAAAGTCCCAGAAGGAGTCCAGTTGTGGAGGCTGGATCACAATAGATTAAAGGGAGGGATCAGTTGGCTTTTCCCACATCCTGCCCTGTCTCCCCGGAGCCCTTCTTGGCTCCCTTCCACGTGAAGCAGGGGGTGAGATGTTAGCTTTTCCCTTAGGAAAGTGATTCCAGCACCACCGACAGATGCTGAGGGGTTGGCTTTACCGCATCCCCTAATGTGAGCTTGGCAAACTAAGAAGGGTGACTTTGGGCAAGCAGAAGACTTCATGGGAAACCTCAAGTCACACACTAATGTCATTTAGAATATGAAATGACAGTCACACAACGTGCTAAAGATCCTTCAGGGGCTGAAGGTGGAAATCTTTGAACACTATTGTAACATGCGGTGACTACTTCCAACTAGTAAAATGCCAAGCCTGACAACCACAGCCACAAATTCCAGATGGTGAAAATTCCAGGAATATCAGGAAAAGGACAGATGCTCACTTAGGAAACACTGGTGTCCAGGGTAATGCCAGTTAGGGTTTTTTCAAAGCCCATCAATAATTCAAAAATGTTTGGACTGTGACATCACAAAAATAAGTGTGTAGCCTTTCAAGATAATGGCTTGAACATAGAACTAACTGTCTTTGCACCAAAGCTTTGCACCAAACTGTCTTTGCACCATACCTTTATTTAAAAACTGCCCCTATTTTTAAAAAAAAGATTTATTTATGCATACAAGAACTGGGGTACAGGCCAGAGGTGTGGGGGGTGAAAGGATTCACCAGAGATAGAGTGGGAAACAGAAGAGGCAGATTGACTGAAATACACTGCTGAGGGGAGCAGCAGGCAAGATAGGAGAAGTCTGCTGCGCCATGTGGGTAGCTCCCTGGCCAGCCTGGGATCAAACTTGTGCTGCAGAGGCTGCAGACAGCTTCACAGTGCTGTGCTTAACCCCTTGCACCGCCAAGGAGGCCCTGCTCCTATTCGTTATAGTTAAATGTCATGTGCAAATATTTCAGGCTTTACAATACAGTGTTTCTGTCTTGACAGAAAACTATTGAAGATTTTGTATAGCTTAAAACAATGAAATTGGGTAATATAGCCTTGGATTTTATGTGAAAATCCTGCCCTTAATTTTCCACCATTAGGCATATTTCTACTCTTTAAAATAATGCAAGGTGCCTCTAACTATAGCATCCAATTCGTTCATTTGTAATCAAGAGGATGGTTTGAAACATCCCCTTGTAATTAGAGTAGCAATTGACTTACTTTTCATTACAGAATTCAAAAGCATTACAATTAATAAAATGGTGCAATTAGAAATGGCAAATGAATAGTATTTAGAATGTAACCAGCATCACATAAATATTGAGCTTTTTTATTACCAGAATGTGTTATAAAGAATGGGCAAGTTGCCCTATACACTAGAAATTTCAGTTATAAACTTCAGTTGTATTTATTGGTAATAAAGAATTCTTTTTGGGTGAGACTATAAGAGATGCTTTGAAACCAGTGATATCCTAAAAAATGAACACTGAATGACAGTTTTTTAACACTATCATTTAAAAGTTCTTGAAGTATTTTTACACCCCCTTTTAAATTGCAAGCATCCTTAGCTATTCCTTGGCCCTATTCCATTTTTGCTAATCTATATCTCTGCATTTGCAGTCCCATAGTCAACTTTAGATATATCCCCTTCTGTATCTCATGATGCCATTATAGTCAATAGTGGGTAGAAGCAGAGCATGCCTCACAGGCATACCCCTTTATCTATTTTCACATGCCCTGCTATTTGTATATGCTCAGCCTAGCTATCCTAAACAGAAGTTCTTAAGTCAAGTAATGAGAACACACAAGTAATCATGTGTCTCTATGTTAATGTTTCTATGTCAGGGTCTTTATTCTCAGCCTGTACCACTTCCCAGGACACATCCCTTATATTAGTCTGGGTCCTGTGAGAAGCAGACTCCAGGTAGGAATGGAACAGGGTAGAGATTTTGTTAGGGGAAAACCTGCAAGAGCCCATGGGAAGGGAGTCTAGGAGCTGCGAAACTCTGTGCTGGTGCTGGTGAGAGAGGAGGAAGAATGGCAGTGTCCTAGGCTGCGGTGCAATCTAAAATGGCTCAGCAAGTCCATCAGGGTCACCAGTGTCTTTCTGGATAGGCCTGCTGTAGGGTCCCCACGGCACCCTCACCCCCCGCCCCGCTTCACTTATGCTGCTGCAGTTGGCAAGGTTCTCCTGGCCAGCACTGTCACCAGGCACACCATGCTTCCTCTGCTACATTGCTTTTTGATTTTTAAGGGCAACAAACAGGATCTTCCTTGTTTTTTGATCTTCACTTTCTGTATACTATCTTTAATTCATAGGTATTCAAATGTTTGTGGGCTAAATGAGGACTTTTTTGGAAAGTATAAAGCTTTGGTACAAAAAGGTATACTTTTTTGGAAAGTGTTTCTTTTATAGCATCAAACCTAATATCTGCCTTCCCTCTCTCAGGAGGCTCTGTGCTGGATGCCAGACCCAGAGTCGGTGGGAAAGTGACCTGAGGGTGAGGAGTGGGGCTTGGTGAGGGGAAAAAGAGATGGGGCTGGAGAAAGATCTTGGGCGAGAAGCAGATCAACCAAGAGAACGGTCAGTTTGCAAAGGCTGTGCAGAGAAACAATGGAGGTTGGTCACAGGGACAGCAGCCAGCGTGACGGGGTTGGCGGGGGGAACGCCAGTCTAGCTGCATGAGATGGAGTCTGGAAGTATAGACCGTCTTACAGGTAGCCTCAGATTGGATGCAAAGAAAGTTGCAAATCTTTTTATCTGGAAGGGAATTCCTCCCCCAACCCTTGTTATTCCTCTGGTCATGTAAAATGAGCATTATTATTATTATTATTATCATCATCATCATTATTAAAGACTTATTTATTTATGCATACAAGAGCTGGGGTACAGGCCAGAGGTGTGGGGGTGAGAGGATCCACCAGAGACAGAGTGGGGAACAGAACAGGCAGACTGACTGAAATACACTGCTGAGGGGAGCAGCGGGCAAGTCAGGAGAGGTCTGCTGCGCCATGTGGGTTGCTTCCTCGCAGTCCAGGGGATTGAACTCGTGCTGCAGTGGCTGTGGACAGCTTCATAGGTTGTGTCTTAACCCCTTGCGCCACCAGGGAGGCCCATATTATTATTATTTTTGACAAAATGTTTTGGCTCAGCATCCTCAGGTTTCAGCACAACGTATGCCTCTCCAACGTGGCATGTAGTGGGGTGCAAAGTACCTAGCACTCTGGTCCTGGCCATGAGAGGCTGTGTTTCAGGGTGGCAACTTCAGACTTCAGTCCAAAGATGTTCTCCATTGCTGAGGTGGATTGGGTAACCCCTGAGTGTGTGTGGGTAACCCCTTCCCCCCACACCCCTTAAGGACCCATGTTTTTTCCAAAAAAAAAGTTCTACCACATGTGTACTCTGCAGACAAATACCTACAATGCCATTCTTTCCTCTATAGAAATTGAAGACCAAGGGGAGATTGGAGGACCCGAAACTGACCATCTTTGAGCTGTGAGTTGGGCGGGACTGCAAGAACTCCTCTTTGCTAATGATCATCTGGCAGATCTGCTGTTTCATGGCCCAAGACACCTCCCAGCTGCCAGCAGCTGGTGTACCAACTCTTCCAAAACACAATTTCTCACCAAATGGAGAAGCATCTCCAAGGGGTAGAGAGGATAAACAAGGAATGTAACCCCCAAATAAAAGGAAACTATTTGGCCTATGAGAGCCAAAGACAGGAATTTTTCTTGAGGCTAGAAATGTTGAACTGGTTCATTCTTTTGCCCTGCCCTATAGTTTACCCTGGTCTAATGCAACCTTAAAAGGACAGGATGAAGTAGCACAGTTTCTTTGTAACTCTCATATCCATTTTGTAATCTGGTTTATGAAAGAAACCTGTCAAACAAGAAATGTTGCTTGTAACTTGTAAGATATTAAGACCTGCACTCACCCTGGAGAAAGTGAGAAAGCAAGCTTGTTCTCTAATGCTGCCCCTCAGCAATCCAGCAGCTTCTTCTGTTTGTCACCCGAGCTGGTCATTAACAATGTTTAAGTGACTTTGCAGCAAATTCTTATTTTCAAGGGGAAACCACAGCATAATTAGCAAAAATTGCATCGCCTTCCACTGCTAAGAGTTTCAGTGCAATGTTAAAAATGGACTGGCAGAATACCCTAGGGACATCAAGATGGCAAAAGACAGCCTCTTCTTCTCGGTAAGACAAGAGCCTTAAAATCAATACTCTGGGAAGGACTAACCCAGCAGTGTGAATGAATTTGAGGCTTAACAAGGACACCCAAAAGGGCAAAGTGGGAGGAAGAGGCCTCAGTAAGGTGGCCAAAAATTAGAAAGGGGAAGCTGAAAATACTAAAGTTGCTTTCCTGTGAACCAACCTAATTAGTTTTCACCTGAAAATAAATTTAATTTCAAATTAATTAAATGAAGTTATATAATTTAATTTAGATGAAATTTAATTTCATTGAAATTTTTCAAATAAAAATTGGAAGCAAAGAACTTGCCCAACTGAAGAGATTGGTAGGGACAATGATTACAGCTGGAAACTGAAGGTTGTCTTTTTCCCCTATGAGATGCATTTAAGTAAAATTGTGTCTATCCAGCAGTGCAAGTAAGTAACTTGTGTGTTATATGGCATCCTGTGATAGAATTTCCTTTGGATTTAAATTCAATGTGCTAAGGGGGATTACAATTTTGGCCT